TCGGCACCGTTATTTATTACAGGCTTAATGGTGAGCACTCCCACGGGCAGTACTGCTTATTCTATGGCCACGGGGGCGAGCCTTTTACACCCATGGGTGCCCGCATTTCTGCTCACTCCGATCAACTCGTTGGCTCTCAGCTCCCGGGCTATCGTGTTGCCAATCAATTTGCGTCTGGAAATTGCAATTGCTCCGGGTGCACGGTGTCGCGCTGTGCATTTCTCGTTTGACGGACGATCTCGAGCCTCCAACTTAATCCACGAGGGTGATTCGATTCTGGTCACCAACTCCCCGTACCCTATGCCATGTCTGTGTGGTTCGGATCAAGTGAGAACCTGAACATTTGTTTTTTTCCTAATTTCACGTTACCTCTTTATTCTAGCTATGGGGATTGACATTCTAATCCGGAATCTTTGTATATAGTTATATGACAATCCGAAATAAACGAAAACGGTTATTTCACAGCTTATTTATCACTAAACTTAGGCATATCCGAACTTTCCTGTATTATTACTCTGGTCTCAATAAACGCCTCCTTCCATCTTGTTCACACTGTACCTGATGAGGTAATCGCAGTGAAGCAGTAGTTTAATGCTGCTGGCACGTGTTAGTAATGCAAACTTAAATTCTAAGCTATTTGGAGAATATAAAGGTGACATATTTCACTGATTCTCGAATATAATCATCATCATCATCGTACACCGAAATACAGTGAAACGAACGAACAGCTGATCGCTGCCAAACTCGCGATGCATGCAAGGTTAGTGGTAAAATTTAAGGTGGACGTGGATTGGATCTATATTGAGGGAGGGAGAAGATGAGCCACTATGGTCAACACACAGAGTACGCATTGGAACTCTGCATACATACCGTTTCAAGCATTCTGACCTGATAAGAAACGACAAGACAAGAACGTCACTGCTGCCGGTTCGTTGCCATATCCTTCAATGTCTCCAATCAACCAGTTGTAGAGTCTTTCGGACCCCACCCAGGAAGGCGAGAGACACCTACTCTACCTAATGACTCTGTGCATTTCTTCATGCTTCGTCTCCACGTCATCTGTTGACCTCCACGTGGTTTCCTCCAGCCCGGATATTCTAGACCTCGTTTTTTAATCTTATACTACCGAACAAACATTAGCCAATCAGGCAACGCCACGTTTCT